TTCTTCTGAGAAAAAATAATCAGCTCTCAGTCAAACCTTCATTATTTTTCAAGACATCTTTATTATAAAAAATGTTTCCCCCTTTGGGTTCTGGGGCCCCGTTGTGGGGAAAACAAAAATATACCAATTGCCTTCCCAAAAGCATGTCGTAAAAGTCGACTAATTGAGAGCTTCCTTCAAAGTTGGAGTACATCTGCTTGAGAGGAAAAAAAGAACAAACAGTCTGCATGCAAATGAGTCAGACCTGTGAAATAGATGGGCACTATACACTCAGTTTCTGCTGGAACAGGACTGCATTTTATAAGTGGATGAACAACCAGAACTTTCCATCAGAGTTTGCAGCCGGTGAACGCGAAGAAGAAGATAACATTTTTATCTTTCTATGGTTCATCCTCCCTATTATTCCAAATTCTCTACAAAACCACACCTCGGCTGTTTCCACATTCTCACCTTACATTTAATTTTCACTAAGTGACCACTGTTAAAAACATTTTCACTATAAAGTGGTGACAAATATTGATCAATAACACATTGTTACATTAAAAATGTGAGGTATAAATAAAGATATCCAACAATTAAAATCCATAAGATAAACAGCTGTATTATAAGTAAAAAAAAACATGACTGCATGAAGACAATATTTAATTCCACATAAATTAAAACAACCAAATAACTGCCAATCACTGCCTGTATTTATCACTTTTGTAATGTAGGCATGTTGAGGGATACGTCTCAAGTCTAGATCTATCTGGACAGACAGTGTGTTGTCTTTAGGATCAAAACTGGGTAGACAGACAGACAGACAGACAGACAGACAGACAGACAGACAGACAGACAGACAGACAGACAGACAGACAGACAGACAGACAGACAGACAGACAGACAGACAGACAGACAGACAGACAGACAGACAGACAGACAGACAGACAGACAGACAGACAGACAGACAGACAGACAGACAGACAGACAGACAGACAGACAGACAGACAGACAGACAGACAGACAGACAGACAGACAGACAGACAGACAGACAGACAGACAGACAGACAGACAGACAGACAGACAGACAGACAGACAGACAGACAGACAGACAGACAGACAGACAGACAGACAGACAGACAGACAGACAGACAGACAGACAGACAGACAGACAGACAGACAGACAGAGTCTCCGAGTCTGAGGATTTCGAGTCGCATGGCTAGTGTAGTCGCTACCAACAACTGTGCAGGTTAAGATTTTATACTTGCCCCCTGACAGAAACAAATCCATGACCTTACCGAGGATCTGAACCTGTGTCTCCCACGTGAGGACCAACCAAATGCACAATCAAAATTATGGAACAATATTTGGCAGATGACAGTTGATTAAAAAAAATTTAAATATTTATTACACCAACTGAGGTAATAATAATAATAATACTGAAACGCAAACAAAAACTGCTATAAAATATACACAATTCACATGTTGAACATTCAATCATTTTAAAAACTATCAACTGAATTCAGCCTATTGGAAGAAAATGTTCACAGCTAACAAATGAACACACCATAATGGCAACTGTCAGTTATTATTATGAAAGAGGAATACATTTCTATCTGTTAGTTTTATAATGGGTTTGTGTAAATCAAATACCATCTCCACAAGGAAGGATGGCTGTACTGATTTCCCACTCTCTCAAACTGCTGTTCATCTGTCTTCTGGTCTCATCATCCTACTTATATCCCTATTTACTTCTTGCTTACCAGCCTGAAACTTTTTCCGACAGTAAAGCTTTTAATGCCTTCACTATAGTCCAAATATTCTTGTCTCTTATTTCTTTCAACAACTACTATTTCATTCCCAATTTATCTAGAAATGCTGCATTTAACTGTTTCTATGAACCTCTTCACCTCAAGAGCCTTAATTTTACTTTCTATTTTTTCTTTTTCTGCCCTTTATTTCTCATGGCAAAAAAGGTTCAACTGTTCTCCTGATTTCATTTGCATAAAACAGTGCAACTTTCCAATTGCTTGTCCATTTTTCAGGTTAGAATGGGTTCAGAGGCGGCTATTACACTTAACTCAGATTGGAGAAATGTCTTAGTGACGGTAGAGAGGTGACAACTGCAAAACAGAAGGAGACAACTTGCCTGTTGACTTCTATACAGCAAGCTTCTATACTGTGTATGGTTTCCTCAATTCATTACTGCCCCAATATCCTGGTACAAATGAAGATCTGGCCGAATATTCACACAAATACTGTTCTTCATTAACGTTTTTAGAGTATGCAGGTATGTTATTTAGGTTCACTGTGAGTTAGCCAGCCTGAATACAGTTCTGTGTAGCAGATTTTCTTCAATAGATACTCATTATTCCAGTGGTATGTCAGACCTGTTGTGATGTATGCTAGTGATTCTTAGAATGTGAATCAACAAATGAGTACAACAGACATGTGGTTTCTGAGATAAGTCCTGTGAATGTTTTGCCACAGCTACTATAGTACAACCTCCTGATACAAATCCCAAAAGAACCGAAAAATCAGTAGTTCATGTTTAAAAAAATTTGTGCAAACCAGGGACTAGTAGAGGTATTATAAATAACACATCCCTGCTGTGGCCAACATTTTGTTCATGTTAACTGAAATCTGAATGTTAACTGTACATCTTAAACGAGTTTGTGTTAATGAAGTTTAAAAAAAAATGTCAGGAAAAGGCTAAGGAAAGTAGAATATTAACACAAAATGATAAGGAAAAGACAATCATTACTTATGGTAACACCATGAAAAGAGAGGATTTAAAAAACATCATGATCAATGGAACAATCATTAATACGATGGGCAGACAGAAATAAGTGATTTCTTATGGTCTTCTTCCTCACGTTCTTTGGCTGTAAATTATGGAGAGTTCTGGCTGTTCGTCCACTTCTGGACTTTGGTCTTGTTCCAGAACTAGAGTTTTGCATGCACATCCATTTTACAGATCTGACTTATCTGTATGCAGACTGCTGGTTCCTTGCCTCTCAGGCAGATGAACTCCGACTTCAAAGGACACCCCTAATTAGTCGACTCTTATGACATGCATGTTAGGCAGTGGGTTAGTGGGTCTATTTCTCCCCCCCCCCCCCCCTTCTTCCCCCACATAGGGACTTTATGGTCTAAGACGGAGGCTTGGAGGATAATTATCAATAGGTTTGAGTTGGAACATTGACATCTATGCCACCTGGCAAAGCACACGTTAAGCAGCTCTTTCCCGTCGGCTAATGCAGTATAATATTGATAATGGACATGCTAGCCGAAATAATATCTATGTCCATTAAAAAAAACAAGTCACACAATTTTCCAATAAGCAGATTTCTGTAGAGGTTATTTATTACAATTTAAGTAAAGAAAAGTACCAATTGGCACTAGGTGGGTAATGTGGTCAGCATTACGCCGGCCGTCTTCACTTCCCTAGGACATACATCTTGGTACCCATTTTAGGCTGGGTTTGACCTGCGACGCTCCGTACCATGATAAAAATCAACGCAGCCAGCAGTGGGTTTCGATCGTGGTACGCTAGAATTAGATTTATTACAATCTGGAATGCAATTATTAATATAACATCAACAAACAACTTAAAGTGAAAATCCTAAGAACGTGCATGTTTTCTGTGGCAAAAGACTGCTGACTGTTTTGTAATCACTAAAGAACAAGATTAGAACTTTTGATTTTAAATGTTGCAGAAAGATTATCAGAGTATCATGGACCGAAAAAAGAAACACAAATACTGATAAACAAAACTACTGTTCCTTGTAAAAAGAAATATTTCAGACATTTTAAATGCCATACTGGTTTGGAGAGAGCAGTAATGGAGGGTGAAGTTTTTGAAAGAAAAGACAAGAGGATGACCAGCACAAGTGGACACAGGATTTCAAGGATAACTGGTCACAAGAGTTCATGAGGTGGGAAAATTAGCAGCGGGTCAAGTGGCTTTTCAGTTAGCCATGAGAGGGATGTTCTGCTTGGAGCTGCTAAATGAGGATGATCTTGGTGATGATGGATTGCAAAGTGATATGTCAGACATGAGACTTTACAACGGATATTTGAGGTTTTTGCTTCAATCAATAAAACATGGCAGAACCTCACACATAATGTCAACCAGGCAATGTACAAATTTGATGCCTATCTAAACAAAGGTAATTTCTACCAAAATGCAGCAAACTTTTCAAGTCTATGTTACAAACATTACAGTATTTATCAATTAGAACCATAAAACAGAACACCCAGCCTTACACACTCAGTTGTATTGTCATAAATTTTTATATGTGACCTTTCATTCTCAGACTGAGAATGGGAATAAAATATTCTTTTTGCAAGTTTGTGAAATAGTTGAAGTCAAAGTTGAGTTAATCGACTTCCCTGCAAAGGGCTTCACCCATGATCATCATTACTTTTACATGTTACAGCAGCAAAGCCTGGCATATGATATCCCAACGTCTAGTTTGAGAATAGAGATGCAGGCAGTCACTGCTGCCTTGTACACACATATTATAATTGTAATTGACCCACAGAGCATGCTGAAAAAGGTGGAGACAGCCACGCTCTGTGCAGAGTGGCAAGCATCGCTTCAGAGGCCCCAGGTACTGAGCATCCTTGAACATTTTCTCAAGGTCATGCATGTGTGTTAAGAAACGAACAAAGCAGATAGACTGGCCAGTTCTACTGGAGCTATGAAGTTCATGCACTGTGCAAGATTCTTGACAGATAGGTGGCTAGTCCATCTGTGGGGAGAGACTGAGCCATATGAGTTGAAACCCAGTGCAATGAAGTCAATCCTCTTAACCTTAAACATATAAAAAAAAAAACTGCTCAACAGCTTCTGCCACACTAATACATACATTTTCTGTAAGTTGTTGCTCACAGGTTCAAATACAAAATGGCTACTGTTGATTCACTCTTCTTCTTCTTCTGCCTTCTATTCCCCAATAGGACACAGGCATTCAACCAACTTACGCCAAGTCGTTCTATCGCTGACTCACTCTAATTAAATGTCATTTCTGCTTTCAGCTCTGGTATTATCTGGCAAGTCCGGCAGTGATAAGGATCGTTTGTCACTCAAGTTTCTCAACTCTAGGTCTGAAATCTTTTGTTGATGCTTTTTCATGAACCTCCCTCCTGCAAATCCTGCAAGACAAGGAAATTAGTATTTCAGTAAATGAAGTGTGCTGCTTATCAAACACTGTTAAAACTTCTTTTTATGCCTTAGCCTTTAAAAGGGTATTTGGGAGCTGTGCTGTTGTGCTGCAACTTTCAGCCCAACACATCCTATTTCAGTAAACCGTTAATTAGTCACCTATTATGATACACACTGTAAAGGGCAGAAGTCTCCCCCCACCCCCGTTTCCACATCGGTCCTGGAACTCACACGGGGATGATATTTAAAACAATAATCTGGGTTACAAAGAAATGTGCAAGAAAACATGCTGCTCTGCAAAGATATTCACATAACAATTTGATTTTTCATAAATATTTTTAGAATAATAATTTGACATTTCATAAATATTTTAAGAACAACCATCACTGTTTGACAAAGTTTTTTTTTTAAATTAAGTTTTTCAAAATAACAACTTGATGTGCTGTAAAAGACTTTTAAAAAGACAATTTGATGTTTACCAAAGATTTTCATATCACACCGTCCATTTTTACTTCCCACGACTTTACCTAGTACAAATTTTTAGGCTGAAACAAAATGTCAGACTTGATACTGATTTAAACCCATGGCCATCAGGCCAGCAGATGAGCATCTAGGTACTAAAGAAGATATGTTTTGTTGACAGATGAAATGCAGAACAAGAAGAAGAAGAAGAATAACAAGGAAGAATATACAAACAGACAGACAAAAACTGATCGTAGTAAAAAATAACAATGGACTATATATATTCAAATTCAAAACAGGAAATTGCATGATAACAAGAAGCAATGTATATTTAAACAGAAGGACTCCCCCCCCCCCCCCCCCCCTCCTCCCCCATCCTCCATCCAGTTAAAAAAAAAATATTCTTATTATTCTTCTTTACGTACTCTTTTACCGCTTCAGGTGTCCAGGGAGACAGAAGGTCCTGCTTCGAACAGACACATCTCAGTGCTGGAGAGTTTCTCTAATGTTTTTTGCTGTCTTTGTATATAATTTAGAATTTGTTCTGTGCCGACTTTATCTAGTATGACCTCATTCCTGATTTGATCTCTTCTGGTCACTCCTACAGTCTTTCTTATTTGCATGGTTACTAATGTTCTTTTATTTTTTGTTGTGAGTGACCATGTCTGACACTGGTAGCATAGGATGGGAATGAATATGCATTGTATGAGATGTTTCTTCGTGCTGATTGGGACTGCCTTATGCTGTAAGAGCATTGTATCTATTCAATGAAAAAAAAAAAATGTATGTTCAAACAGAAAATTATAAAAGCTTTGAAACAACAAAAAACAATTTATTTGCTTTCAAACAGAAGACACAAAACACACCAAAATAAAAAACGATCAAACAATAAAGAAAATTGTATATTCAAAAGAAGATAAAAATTACTGAATGACAAAGAACAACATAAGTTCAAACATAAGAAAAACAAACAACATTATCAAACAAAGAACAATGTATATTCAAACAGAAGAAACAAAAACATTATCAAACAACAAAGAAATGTGTATATAAAAAAAAAAAAAAAACTTAAACAAACAACAATGTATATTTGAACAAGAAAAGAAAACTATCAAAGGAAAAAATAAATATCAAAGAACAATGTATGTTCCAACACAAAATTAAAAACTCTCTTACCAACTGCTGTACCAACTGCTCCAGCCAGACCACCAATTTTGACCCCAGCAAATAAACCGATAGGACCAGCAACTATTCCACCAACAACAGCACCAACAACTGGGAACAGCACAGACTTGTATTTGGCTGCCTACGAAAACAATGCAATAATCACACTAGTTTGGACAGTTCCTCTTCTTATTCTACGTTCGACATTAGCAATGCTGAACATTTAGTCACAGTTAGGTCATAAAGAGGAATGTGCATCTAAAGCCGCTACCAGGTTCTTAACTTTCACAGGAGTTCACCTGCGAAAAGTTCTGGTTGTTTGACCACTCATGGATTTTAATCTTGTTCCATAACTTGAATTTCGCACGCATTTCCCTTTTACAACATCTGGCTTACTTGTATGCAGACTGTTGCTATCTTACCTCTCAGGCAGACTGTTGCTATCTTACCACTCAGGCAGACTGTTGCTATCTTACCACTCAGGCAGACTGTTGCTATCTTACCTCTCAGGTAGACTGTTGCTATCTTACCTCTCAGGCAGACTGTTGCTATCTTACCACTCAGGCAGACTGTTGCTATCTTACCTCTCAGGCAGACTGTTGCTATCTTACCTCTCAGGCAGACTGTTGCTATCTTACCTCTCAGGCAGACTGTTGCTATCTTACCTCTCAGGCAGACTGTTGCTATCTTACCACTCAGGCAGACTGTTGCTATCTTACCTCTCAGGCAGACTGTTGCTATCTTACCTCTCAGGCAGACTGTTGCTATCTTACCTCTCAGGCAGACTGTTGCTATCTTACCTCTCAGGCAGACTGTTGCTATCTTACCTCTCAGGCAGACTGTTGCTATCTTACCTCTCAGGCAGACTGTTGCTATCTTACCTCTCAGGCAGACTGTTGCTATCTTACCTCTCAGGCAGACTGTTGCTATCTTAAGGCAGAGGTACTTCAGCTTCAAAGGGAAAACCCCTAATGGTCACCATTTATGACATGACTGTTAAGGGCAATGGGTCTACAAGTTACAAGTGGCAGAACCTTTTATGTATCTGCACCCTAGTTATAGTGATAGATTCTTTCATGTATCAGTTGGCAAGTCCATTATTTTTTCCATTTACCAATTAATTAAACATTTATTATCAATTTCAATGTCACTTCAAAATCTTCAGTTCAATCCTTTCACCCTGGTGACCTAGGAAAGAAAAACAAACTTGGAATTTCCATTTTAGGGATATTCCCAACAAAATCCTTAGAAAAATTACCATTTTACACATCACCAAAAGAGAAAGCGCACAAAATCAATTTATGATCAAAAACAATTACTATACAATGTAAGGGAAGTAGCCAATTAATAACTAAATGCTGAATAGAATCAACTGGCTTACATACCTACTTATAGCGTGATACTTGCTTGACCCTGTATCCAGTCGCCCAGTTTTTGCTGAACATTTGACAGATGCACAAACATTCCTCAATAGGGAGTTGGGAAAGCAGCTCTCAACAGGAAATGGTACCAACCAAAATTGTCAGTTTTGTGGCTTCTCAAAAGGGGGTTGCCCCCTAACTCGCATGTTTTAGAAGGGGACTAATTAGGGGTTTGCTGAAGTCAGATGTGTCCGGAGCCGGCAGGGGCAAATAACGTAGACGAGCTGTAGGAGTCTGCTAAAACGAGGTGCGCTGGGACAACAGGTACAGATATCACAGCCTGGCTGTAAACCACAAAACAGCATGCCAACCACCATTTTAAAAGTAGTAGTAGTAGCACATTTTACCCCACTAAGACATCACACAAGCGATTAAAACCTAATGACACAAAGTGCCACTATGTGGATAAGGATCACATGTGGAGAGGTCTCGGAAACCGTGTTCAGCCATTAGGCCATATTTATGGCCGGGCTATATTGCAGCCCCTGGCAAGAGCCAGGGTGGGGCTTCAAAATAACTAAAAATTGCATCCCACAAGGGGATGACTAGTGCATGGAATTGTACTCAATTTTAAAAGTAAATGTAGAAGATAAAGGAGCTTGCAAATATGTCATATGTAAGAGAAAATTGATGATGCCATCCTAAAATCAGATATCCATTAAATGCATCACAATCTCCTATATGTCACAGAAAAAAAGGAAAGCAGACAACTTTAAAAAAAACCTACCTTGGCGAGGTGATGGGTTCCCTCTCGGACATTCTCATGAGCACTCTCTATATTATCTTCTATGTTGCTGATGACTTCCCCTTGTTGCTAAAACATAAGACAAACAAATTAATTCCCACAATGTTACTTCTATCCTTATTTTCTGTCACTGTATTTTTGTTTCTTATTTTTGTCTTCTGATGAAGACTGTTGTCATATTTTTCAGCCACCGACATTCCCCCATCTTTAATACAGCTTAATGCATTTATTTTATTAAAAAAGTATCAGACACTTTTCATGCCAGTGACACCATATGCCCGAGGCACCCCTTGGGATGAAAATGGCCCTTCACCTATGTAACTCATTAATTAATGAAACATGTATTATCGTGGATCCAGAAAGCAATGACAAACTGCTGGACGCAAATTTGCCTAGAAAAACCACAACAGCCAACAAATGCTGGGGTTGGTTTTGCAACGTCCTGTACAGGATACGCAACTAATTTTTATTATCAGTTTAAAAAAAAGTACCTATGGTCTCGCTTGGTTGATGAAAAAATAAGATAATACGGACTACTAGGTTTAGATGACCTTTTCCTGTTGCTTAAAAATAAAACAGTCAAATTAGAGGAGAAGGAAAAGAAGAAAAGCACCAATAACAAATTGGTGGTTTAAACCAAAATTAATGTATGCAAATAATACATAAGTTTACAAGCATGGCAGTAAACCCAGAAAATACCAAGAAGCTGGATGTCTCAGTCAAAATCACAGCTCTGTTGTAAACAAGCACAACACAAATCATCATCATGTAGCAGGTCCTTTGCAGAACGTCGCTCTCATTACAGTCTGCCTAAAAGAAACTCGATCCCTTGCCAGCTCTCGCGCCTCATGCACTTTCACACTCAAGGACTCACTTATATCCTGTGCCCATCTTCGTGTCGGTCGGCCCCTGCTCCTCCTTCCTGGTACCATGCCTTCTGCTATAATTTTTTCCAATCCGTTGTGGCGCTTGAAATGACCAAAATATTTCAGTTTTCGAGAAAGGATGCGGTTTATTAGCCAACCTTCCTTGATGATCAGATCTTTTAAGATGTCAATTTTTCTCATCTTCTTTGTCCAAGATATTCTGAGAATCTTTCTATAGCAACAAAACAAATACTGACCTGACAAAAAAAAAAAAAAAAAAATTTTTCTTCTGTGTTCGTCCAAAGATGTAAATGCACTGTGACTGTTTACAACATGGCTGCAATATTTGTGGCTTTCGGCCGAAACAACAAATTTTGCAGGCATCTGCTGCCTGGGTTAGCCCTCCTGGAAACTAAAGAAATCAAAAGCAGACATTGGAAAAAGTAGAAGATACATACTTTGATAACTGTGTGTACGTAGAAAACTATATACAAACCTCAACATTGGTGGCAAATTCATGCACCAACTCATTCAGTTCAACAATGTTCTGGGGGAAAACAAAACACAATGTATGTATAAGTTCTTGTTACTTTTACATTAAAGAAAAAGGGAGAAGAAGGGAGGGAAGGTGATATATATATATATATATATACACACACGCACGCACGCGCACACACACATATATATATATATATATATATATATATATATATATAGAGAGAGAGAGAGAGAGGGAGAGAGAGAGAGAGAGAGAGCTGTAAAAGGAAAGATCAAGTAATCAGATAATCAGCTCCAATCGCTTCATCGAAAAAGGGATCACACCATCGTTACTCCATTCCTGTGCCAACGAAAACCACACAGAATGTCTATCACTGTCCTTTATAAAATTTCTGACATAGATTGCAGTGTCAGCAAAGCCAATAGCATACACAAGCATTAAACGCACAAGGCAGCCATCAGAAGGGCCAACACAAACAGTCCAGCACTAGAAATGCCCTTCATCGTTGACAGAAGCATCAATTATAACTGAACAATAATTGCACTTGCAATTAATTGCATTAGGTACCACCAATTATGTGATAACAGGCCACTTGCCATTTTTTGAATCTGCATTTTGCAATAAAAACCAAGTTGGGCATAGCTGAAAAAGCATTTTAAATGGAATTCGAAGCTCACAGTGCTGCAACATGCACTCAACAGTAGCCAGGCAATGAAAATATATTCTTTTAGTCTTTATATAGAGGAAAATGCAACAACTAAATAATATCAGAAGCAAAAATTGCCATGACTAACATCAGCAAGCCTGCCTATTTGCCATACTGACACACCAGATAAGAGAGAGCGGGAGAGAGAGAGAAAAGGATAGAAAGATAAAGAGAATTATTTAATTAATTTAAAATAAAAATATTATTCTCAAAGGGTTAAAAATTGATCACTTTAGCTTTGTTCCAGAAGTTAAGTTTTGCATGCATATATGTTTTACTATTTGGCTTACTGCTGGTTCCAGGCCTCTCATGTACATGCACTCTGACTTAAAAGGAAATGTCTGTATTAGTTGCTGTTGAAAAAGGGGGGGGGGGGGGGAGGCAGGTGTGTGTATTTTTTTTCCCTCCCACAAAGTGAGCTCCCGGACCCCACAGTAACTCACTTCCTGTAGTTGCTCCCAGGAAGCAGAAGCTTGTGAGTTCTGTGGTACCACATGCAGACTTGTGGTCAATAAAGGTGCTGGTATTATTGCTAAAGAGTTTGGAAGGCTGCCGTAGGGTGACTGGTAGCTGCCACTGTCGAAGCTGTCGTACATAAATCCTGACTGTTCTTCCGAAGTCAGGAAATAGTCTCTTTGTTGTGAATGTGAACTAAGATGGTTCACTGCATGTGGGGCATCTGCTTTTCCAGGTCCAATAGAAATCCCTCCACTTGAATCTGAAAGATGATAAATAATAATGAATTGGGGCAAAGGTGATTGTTAGTGAAGAACTGTTAAATCTTCTTCCCTGCTGTCAGCTGTATGGGTATTTAGTGCTAGCTTGATAATGTTATTTTTAATAAACAAACAGACATGTATTGAATGGTACTCACAGCAAGAAGCACAAAGATAGAAAGACATACTATACAATATAAAAATCAAGTACTATAGTTATCATACAGCTGCACTCACATCCTAGCATTGATTCTTCTTCTTTTTTTCTTTTTTTTTTGGTATTCACAGACTGTAAATTCTGGCAAAAATTTATGGTTATTCATCCACTTCTGGCTTTTGTCTTGTTCCAGAACCTGGGTTTTGAAGGCATATCTGTTTTAAAAATTTAAAAATTTTTTTTTTAATACAGACTGTTGGTTCTTTCCCCCAGAGAGATGCAATCTGACTGAAGGAAACACCCCTAAATAGTAGACTCTTATGACATGCTTGAAAGGGAGCAGAGGATATATTCACCCTGTCAGGGGGACACTTTGAATAATGGATGCTAGAGGTTTTGTTCATTATCATCATCAAGCATTGCGACCCTTAGCAGAATATGTAGACCGGAAGCAGATGTTATGGGGCTACCAAATGATCTGGACCAACTTAGCAAAAGCACTTCAGATGCTGACAAAGACATAAGAATTACAAGAAGTTTTATGTAAAGGAATGATGAGGAAATAGAAACCTGGTCAAATTACTTACAATGTTTTAATAGTACATGTGAGGTACCATAACTTTACATTCGAACTAAACTATTTACCTGCACCTTTTATTACCAAAATAAAACTGCTTAAACAATTCAAAAGGATATTTTTTAAACAAATAAATCACCTGGTTGTGTGTTTTGAGGAGACAGTTTTTGTTCAAAACCTATAAAGTTCATGAACTCCTCCATTGCAAACACAGCTTTTGATTTCACTTCTTGAACTTTTGCATCAAATTCAGGCAAATCTTCATTTTTCACCTGGAAAAATAAAAGATTTGAAATACATAATATAGTTATAGGTATGCCAATGTTAAAGCTTGAAAAGTATGAGGTTTAAATCTAGCTGATGTCATTTTTTTTGTAGAAACACAATCATAACTTTCTTATCGGTCATTCAGGCAAAGTTGCAGTGGGTCATAATACAGTTGCTCTGTTCCTACGCCAGTGAAACCACTGTTCCTTGTGGAAAAGTTGACACAAACTGTGATCTTATTAAAATATATGCAGTCATAAGAAGTGCCAACACAAACAGTCTGCCACTAGAATTATAGTTTATCATCAACGTAAGCAGTAATTATAACAGATCGGCAGTTGCACACGCAATGTCACACAAGTCACCACCAACTCTGCGGCAACAGGCCATTCTGCATTTTCTAAATCTGCAATCCATTTTACTGGACTGGAAGACATAACTTTCCTATATCATTATCACAATTATCATGTTGTGCTGTTTACAAGTCACAGAGCTACCAGTTTAATCTTCCGTTCTACTAATAGAAGTCAAGGGTTCAACTTTACTCCTGTGGGTCACCCACTAACTGTTCCATTCCTGTGCCAGTGAAAAATCTCACAAAATGGCCCTCACTGTCTCATCTGAAGACTAGTGAACAAACAACCTTGCCAGATATGAACAATAAGCACACAAAGACAAGTTAGGTGCTTGTCCTATACAGGATATTGCAGAACCAACCCCAGCAATTTTTGGCTGTTTGTGATTATCTAGGCAATTTCACATTCAGCAGTTTACCATCAGTTTCTTAATGGTCAGCTCTCAATACCAACACAAGGCAGTCTGCTGCCAAATCACACACAGCTTGCATAAAACCTGGTACTTTGGAATTATGAAGCGTGTTCGCAACACCTAAGCCACTGATGCCAAAGCAGTCTGTTTACTTTTGAAGCTTTATTGTGTTTTTTTTCCTATTGCTTCTGGCAGTCGTTCGCTAATGCAATTTCCACATATGGATCACACTCAGCGGTTTTGCTGCCTACGCTACCAAATTAAGCACTCTTAGCCACCCCATGAGGGTTCGGGGTCCCATCACTGCCTCCCCAATAAGTATGTCATAGGACTGGACTCACTGACAGGAGGCTGGGGGCGGGCTGGGCTTCCTTTAAAGCAGTAAAATGGATGTACACACAAAACTCAGGCCCTGGCACTAAGCTAAAGTCCTAACGGACGCACATTCAAGACTTTCCGCTAGAATAGAAGTCAACATTTCAATAATTACCTGATTTCGGGCTTTTTCAATTTCACGAATGTTAGCTTTAATTTGCTGTATGGTTCGTGTTGCATTAACTTGCTCTTTGTGCAACCCATTCCAGTCCTCTGCATTTGTCAGCTATCACAAGAAAAAGAATTATATATAGCCTGATTGATACTTCCAGGATATTAGTGAATATAGTTCAAATAAGCGGTTCAAATTTACAAAATATCTGTGCTTTATTAAGACCACAAAATTAAGCCCTTAGTAGAAAAGTGATAGTCTAGTTATACAGCAAAAATATTTACTTTTCCTTTTAAGATTTTTACAGATAAAATACTTCCCCTTCTTCTACATTGACTGGTTCGATTTCAGTTTGCGGTGATTCAGCAGCAGACTGCTCGGCATTGATTTTGACAATGGCATTAAGTGTCAACCATTCAAAAAACAATAGCAAACCACCAAATGTAAAACTACCCAGTAAAACCAAAGCCAAAAAATGTCTGGGGTTGGTTTTACAAAGTCCTGTAAAAGATACTCAACTAACAAGCTCTGGCTGGTATCAAACCTAGGTAAATATTTTATCCACTGGCTATAGGTATTTAATTGTCAACAAACTAAAATGATTAAGCACAAATTTTACCTTCAACAAAGATTTAAAGAAGACCTAAACAACAGAACACACAATTTAATGCCTGGCGTATTTCATTGCAAACAAAGACAAAAACAAAACGAAATTATCCCCAAAAAACCATGGTTGTGAATATAAGTTCACACTTGTGAAACAGAAAGTTACAATTCAGGGTACTGGATTTTGTGTTTCAGTTGAAAGGATTCATTTATATATTGCGTCTTATTTTAATTGTTACTGTAGTATTCACTACACGAGATACAGGAATAAATTGTGAAATCCATTTTTGTTTTATTTGCTCAAATACGGTTGTGTACATATTGTCATCTACTTATAAACTGAGTCAACAAGAACATACTATGGACAACATATTGCTGCACTAGAAGATATTGATGGAAACAATGAACACATGGCCAGTTCTAAAGCATAAAACCAATCCCCGAAGGCAGTCAGGTCGTTGTTGGGGCGACGCCTGCTGGTGGATGTAATGTCCTAAGTCCCTTTCCCAGCTAATAGTGAGGGTACTGCTGGGGTGACCATTTGTTAACCCCTCACATAATGCTTCAGGTCACAGTGGACGCTAGGCACGGCCACTTTTTTTTTTTTTTTTTTTAAAGCCGTGGCAGTTCTGCCAGGCGGTGGCCGTTGCATTTTTGCTCCATTTGTACACTGGAAGGATATAGTTTTGTCACCCAGCTTCTGAGTTGAGTGCATGGTGTGACACTGTGAGCTACGAGTGTTTTTCGTTGGCACAGGAGCGGAGCAACAATGGGGTGACCCGTTTGCTATGATGCTGAAACTAGGATTACCAGATTACCAATCCCCCTTCCCCCCCCCCCCCCATTTACCCCTTACAAAGTGTCAAAACTCATTGTTCAACTTATAAATAAGTTACTAGAAAAATGAGCCTTCTCTTCTTCTTATTAGTGTTCACTGACTGTTAACTCTGGTGGAAAGTTTTGGTTATTTGCCTACTTCTGAACTTTGGTCTTGCTCCAAAACATGTTTTGCATGTAAATCTGTAAAATACATCGGTTCTACGGATCTGGCTCAATTGTATGCAGACTGTTGGTTCCTCACCTCTCAGGCAGATGCACCCCAAATCCAAAGGAAACACTCTAATTAATCAACATTTACAACATGGTTATTAGGGGGCAGTGGGTCTATGCCCCCCCCCCTCTCCCCCCAAAATGGGGCCCTGGAACACACATGGGGAGTCAGACAGCTAATGGAGAAAATAATTTTTCTTTTTCTGGATTCACCCCTAAAAGAAAAGGGCAGTGGCATGCTGTGTTGTGGTTTACAGCTAGGTCGTTGTATCTACACCTTTCAGCCCAACACACCACATTTAAGAAAACTGAGGCAGTGGTCCCCCCCCCCCCCCCCCCACACACACACACACACACAGGACACTGGACAAGAAGGAGACGAACACAAAAATGATTTGTATTTCCAAAGGGTCATCTACTGGGCACACAGGTCCATCTTAAATTCAGTCCTTCTAAATTATGTTCATATAACAATATACATAATATGACTATTAAGTAAATAAACGCAAAAGCATGGATGGTAAATGCATGCATTCAAATATACATAAATACATACATACACACATACATACATAAATAGATACATACAACAAATGCATACATTGATACATACATACATACATATACAACAAATGCATACATTCATACACACACACACACTCAGAAGATGCAAACACTTCTGGTCAAAATGGAGGATAGGCGTGTTCACTGTTTTTTTAGTCATGGCAAATATTTGCTTCTGACAGACAGCAGCCATTGTCCTCCATTTGTTGACAGAAAAGACATAGTTTTATCACCCAAATACTGAGCTGAGTACATGGCGTGACACTGTGAGCTGGGGATGTTATTTTGAATGTTTTTCGACTGTGACCAACGTTGTGTTATGAACTGTGGATTCATAAAATAGCACGTGGCCTGCTGCCACATAATTGGTGGTGCCTTATGTGATTAAAATTAAAGGCACATGCAACTGCTCATCTGTTTGTAGCTGCTGTTTTCGTCGATGATGAAATGTCTAAAGTCACTGTTTGCTTTTAATGCGTGTATATGCTAGTGGATAAGCTGAGACTGCCGTATGCGTGCATTTTTTCACAAGGGACAGTGATGGACATTGTGTGTGGTTTTTCATTTTCAGCGCAGCAACTATGGGGTGACCCATTTTATATGAAGGTGAAACTAAGATTATCAGATTAACAGAAGATACAAAGTGTCAGGTGCAGTTATTTTTTAACTTAAGAATTAATAAATTATCCGAAATAGAATAAAGCCAGAAAGAAGCTAATAAAATGTGTATATATTATCTGCCTCTCACTTACTCTAGAAATGTTGGCAGTGTGTTTAAATAATCTGTCCAAGTCGATGTCTAGAACCTTGACAAATTTTTTAATTGACAGTTCCAGACGTTTGATGGAATACTTTGTAATTTCAGCACTGTTGTCACCGGACTCCTTTTCACATGGGTCAAAGCTCGCCATTGTGGCCAGTAACAATAAACCTGAAAAAATACAGTACAGATGTTAGATAAGACAACCTGGGTCTTAATGTTAGTTTTGCCTCTGTGACCTGTGGTGTGAAAATAGCAGTGGAAATGCTGTTTTGAATTAAGTGTATTGACCATATGTTATAGGGTCCTTTCCAAACAGGTTCGGAAGCTCCATTTTGAAAAGAGGGAGTGGCAAGAACAGAGTTTGCTGTACAATGTGACCAATCAAGGAATTGCTTAAATCGGAACAGAGCAACTGTGATATGACCCACTGCAACTTTACCTGAATGATCGATAGGAAAGTTATGATTGTGCCTCTAGAAAAAAATGACATCGCTACTTTAATGACTTCTCAAAGAGACACTTTTATATTGTTTCATTTGCTGGGAAAATGAATTTGTATGACCATGTTTTGAAAAACTAGAATTAGCCAAACAAAGTCTTTTCATTGTTGAAGTTTTGAATATATTTGGATTACTTTCTGATTTGTTTTTAATTAATTCAGTGTGATACAAATTCATTGATGAATCTCAGCTAGATAGTGACAATAGTCTTGATATTATGACTGATAATGCAAGTGACAAACCTGTTGCCGATAATATAGGTTGAATATAAGTTGAACAAAATATTTCAATTGAAACATCCCTGTTTCGATCAGCAGATTTCCCTAATTCGGCTGTTGTGAAATTTGACATGTCATATATAAGATGCATAATTGAACAGAGACAGCATGACATCCAAAGAAATGGACAGCAGTGTTATTGAACAAGTAAAAAGTAAGGTAAGCACAAAATGTAATGTATAAATAACCTTCATATGTGTCTAACATCTTTGAATGTTGTGTGACTTTAATAATTTTTTTGTGGTAATACTGATATTTAAATAGTTTGGATTTATTCTGCATTTATTTATTATTAATTCTACATATTATATGTCTCTATACAGCCAATACATTTTCTTAAGGAAGTTTTTAGGGCTATCTTCCGAATAATGGTCCCAAACTATTGAGGCAGAAAATATACCCTAACAGAGCCTCAGTCATGAGTCAGTTGCGCACTTACGGCGACTAGACCGCCACCGCTGAATTGCGTACTTCAGGGGACTATACCGCCGAGAGTGTCTCCCATGTCGCTCACGCCGAATGGATTGGGGCTAAACTAGATGGCTAGGACTCATGAGCAAATAAAATAAAGGCAGCTGCAGGAAATGGGGTAGCTGCTGCTCGTGAGTCCCAGCCATCTAGTTTAGCCCCATTCCACGCCATGTGAGCGGCATGGGAGACACTCTCGGCGGTAAGGTCCCTGGAAGTACGCAAATCGGCGGTGGCGGTCTAGTCCCCATAAGTGCGCAATTGACACGTGACTGAGGCTCTGTTAGGGTATACTTTCTGCCTCGATAATTTGGGACCGTTATTCGGAAGATAGCGGGTTTTAGCTTTGTCATGTTGCAGTAAAAAAATTCATTTCAGCTCAAAATTAAAGTCGTCCTGAAAGAGTTAATAGTGAATTGGGCTGCTAAGCAGGAAGTCAGTCGTGCATCATTCAATACTTGCAGTCTCTATATTTGTGGACATTTTTGAAAGGAGACATTTGATTAGGTAGATAGGTAAGTTGTAACCCACCAGAAGATCACAAAAGCGATAAACACCCGGTGATACAAAGCAGCACCATGCGGATGAGGATCACCCGTGGAGAGATCCCAGAAACCCCGTTCAGCCTCTAGGCCATATTTAAGGACCGGCTATATTTAGGGCCCCCGACAAGAGCCAGGATGGGGCTTATAAATAACTAAAAATTGCATCCCACAAGAGGATGATGATTAACAGTATAACATTAGATAAGTGACTAATGTGTGAATGAATTATTTGTATGCAGCCAATAATAATAATTCTTGGGGTAAATACAGAATGGTTGAATTTCAGAGACACCGCTATGAAAATAGCACAAGAAATATGTGGAACTAAAAGGAAAGGTAACATAGGGCATAAGCTCTCAACATGGTGGTCTGCAGAAATAAGAAGAATTGTGAGCAGTAAAAAGAAAGCTTATGGCATTTGGCTGAGGAGCAGAACAGAAGAGGATTACATAATATACAGGATAATTAGAAGAGAAGTAAATAGAACTATCAGACAAGCAAAAAGAGATTCATGGGAAAAGTTTGAAAGCAAGCTGGCTGAAGAAGAAAGAACAGCAGTGAAAAACTACTACAAAAAAATCAAAGGCATGAGAAACAAGAATAAAGAATACAACCCAACAGAAATGATAAATGATGAAGTTGGCCAACCTTTAATAAAACCTACCAAAATTTTAGCAAGGTGGATTAATTACTTTGAAGAATTACTTAGCTGCACTAAAACAGATAAAAGCAGGGAAGAACATAAAAACAACTCGGAACTAACAGCAGAGGAACTAGAACCAGGTAAATTATTGGATGAAGTAAAATATGTCATTCGAACCGCCCCTAGACTAAAGGCGACAGGTATTGATGATCTACCAGCTGAGGCCATCAAGGCAGCAGAAGAAACCGGAGCAATATGGTTAAAGCAAATATTTCAGGTGGCATGGGAAAATCAAGAAGCACCATCAGATTGGCAGACTGCTGTCATTGTCCCGCTGTGGAAAAATAAAGGAAGTAAGAGGGAATGTACTAATTACAGAGGAATATTACTTCTCAGTCACACTGGGAAAATGTATGCTAAGATCATCGAAAAAAGGCTGAGACCACTGATAGAGTATCAACTTTCAGAAGCACAGATGGGCTTTCGACGAAACAGAAGTTGCACAGATGCCATTTATACATTGAGACAACTATCAGAGAGGGCAATAGAACGTGATAAGACATGTATGTTGACATTCATAGACCAAGAAAAAGCCTTCGATAGAGTCGACTGGAATATGTTGTGGGAATGTATGGGGAAAAAGGGAGCCAGCAATTATCTCATTAATATTTGCAAAAGCCTGTACACACGTAGTAAATGCTGCATAAGATCGAAGGCAGGGTTGTCAAGAACTTTTATAGTGAACTCTGGTGTGCGTCAGGGCTGTGTACTATCGCCACTTCTTTTTATAACATACATGGATACCATATGTAGCGAAACGAACTTTAATCATGAAGAAGATGTTACAGAATTACTTTTGGCCGACGACCAGGTACTCATAGCAGAAAATACGGAATGCCTAAAGAACCACCTAAATCAAATTAGTAACAAAGGGGAGGAATATAATATGAAAATAAACACTACAAAGACAGAGACAATGATGATAGGAAGACATAAAGACAATTTAGAAAATAAATTAAAAAACAACACCCTGAGACAAACAGATGAATTTAAGTATTTGAGAGCAATTTTTACATCTGATGGAAAACTGGACAGAGAAATTAGCTCCAAATGTGCCAAAGCTAATCAAGTAATGGGTCAACTATCTCCCCTGTTGACACACAAGCAGATACTTCGGAGTACTAAAGTGAATCTTATCAGAACAATTTTTTGGCCAGCACTATGCTATCAATGCCAAACGTGGACACTTACATCCTCCAATGAACGTAAAATTGTGACAACAGAGATGTAATGCCTTAGAAGAGCTGCAGGAGTTTCAAGGAAAGACAGAATACGAAATCATGAAATCAGACGAATGCTAGGAATAAAGCCAGTCTTACAGGTCATCATCAAAGAACAACAAATGAACTGGTCTGGACCCCTAACAAGAATGTCCTGGTACTATCCGCCACAGAGAGCCACACTAAACGTTACAACGGGTATAGAGCGAGTGGAAGACCTAAGAAAATATGGAGTGATGGCATTAAGAACAGCCTTACAGAAATGAACATCAGTCTTAATAGTGCTCTTGACAGAGCCCATCAACGAACATTACTTGATTACAACATCATCTCCCCCCGACACTTCGATGAGGTACAAGGTGGAAGAGAAAAAGAAGAGGAAGAAGAAGAAGAGGAAGCCAATAATAATAATAAATAATTATCATCAACAAAGGAAAACATCAAAATAAAACACAGTTGATGAGCCGATTCGATCTTAGATGTGTAATAATGATAAGAAACATACGCTAGCTGGAATGTATGCTCCTAAGACGTATACAATGTTTATTATTGTTAGTTTATCATTATCTGTACCTTTCAACGAACGTAAATACGCCAGACACTTGAGAGTATCTTCCCTTACCAGCTGTTTTCTTCCGGTGAATACTATAATTGTTGTCCTAAATGTTATTTATCTGAGCACAGACACATACACATAAAAGCAGGGCTTTCTTGCTAGAAAAAAATGTGCTGGTACTCACCACAAGGTGTCTAAAAGGTACCGGTACTCGGTACAAAGTGTCTATGATATTAGCGCCAAAAAAAAAAAAAAAAATAAACATAGAAAAGGTTGCATGTTGCCAGACAAAAAAGCCCTGGTTAAAATTGTAGTATTTATTGACACTTATAAGTATAAACTTTATTAGTGTCATTTAATATGTATTATTTTATTCGTTTGTGGCTTTGTTGGTCTCAATGTCTCGCAACACATTCTATATCGCAAAATACATACTAAATTAAAAAAAAAAATCTATTCACAGTCCACTAATGATATTCTTTTCGTGTAATATACATAATATACATTGTGCAAGTGAGTAAATAATAATATTAATAATAATAATGTGTCAAATAACAATTGCATATAATAATATACTTCAAATAATACGTGTGAACAAATGGGGAAAAGGGAATCCTATACTCAGGGGGAATTGCTTAGCCCGCTCACAAATGGAGCCAATTTTTTTTTTTTTTTTGCGGTCGAGGTGAGAGGGGTGTCATCGGAAAGATTAAGCCATCGGGATCTAGCCCCTTAGCCATTTGCCGGCATTTCCTAATATCTACAGCCTCCTGTGAAACAAACCTTAGTGTAAGTTTGTTTCTAAACCATTGTTTTATTCAACTCAGCTCTACAAACAGGTCACTGCAGGCTCAACTACCACCTGCATTTTAAAATAT